CTAAAAAAGTGACTCTTTCAAGATTTATGTCACTTCAAACACAATCTGTGGCTAATGGGCGTTTGATTGAGATCAATCAAGGTTTCAATTAAACTGCTTTGTAAAGTTAATGAGGCACGATGTAATCGCTTGTGTAACAGTTTAAGAAATTACAAAGTCAAACCGACCTAATATAAACTACCTTAACTTATACTTTGCATATTTCTAAAATATGAAACACCTATTATATTTTTGACGGTAATTTATACAAAACTGTTAATGAATCAAAGACAAATGTAATTTCTGAATTCAAATGGGTTGTTCGGTTTAGAAACATTCTTTGTAAATGCAAAATTAGTTTCTAAATTAAAATTTAATAAGCTATGTTATAAGGTTCCAGCAACCTTTTGAAAAATAAAAATATAAATTAAATCAGTAATCCATATAACACTAATTTTGTCTTTCTTTAAGACATTAAAAAAAACTATTTTTTACAGTTATTCGAAATGTTAATTTCACCCTTATTGACAGTTTCTGAAGTTTTTAAAATTCAAATAAATTAGGAAACTGGTTTTGATCATAAAGACTCAATTGCACTAGAATTATGAATATATATAATTGGTTAGGTAATGTGCAAAGGTTCATAGATGATGGTGCAAGCTCAATTGGAATGTCGAATTATGCAATACAGTACCATGTGTCTCAATAAGGGGCTTACCTCTAGTGAATGTGGAATAAACAGATTCGTTTGATCAAAATACACTTTCATAAACACGATTTGTATTACATTGATACAAACGTGGTCCATAATCAGTTAGTGGATTATTCAGGTAATAGTAGATATGATTTAGTAACATAATAACTTTAATACAAAAACAATCAAAATTCTTCATATGATAAGAGTTGTCAAAAACAGAACGATACAGGCACTTTTTTTTCATGCAATCCAAGAATTTTTCTCACAACTATTACTACCCAGATAGCACTCATGCTTTTGACAAGCTTGGCAGTACCATTTTCATACACTTGACGTGAAAACAGTTCACGTCAAGGTTGCGACAACCATGCTGCAACCTCTGAGGCAGCTCTAAAGGCAACATGGTTTTGTTTTGCAAATAGAACGGGGATGATGTGACAACGTTGACAAACTCGTGAATCTCGGCCCTCGGGTGCGCGCGCATCGTCACCAGGCGCTCCGCTACCCCCACCCCGCTGGCCACTAGTGCGAATTTTCAAAGTCATAAGATGGTTTTTGGTACTCTAAAAACAGGCAGTTTTTACCTTCCGACTGTCATAAAAAAATTCCTAAACGAGCTAAAAAATTTTTGTTTTCACAGGAATACGTAGAATAAAACAACAAAAATGTATATATACTACGTGTTTTAAGAAGGATTGGTGTAAACTTGTATCTTTTAATATTACAGGTTATGCACAATTGATTGGAGTTAGGCCTCTATATTTGCATTCAAGTACAATTTGTTTAAAGTCGTTCCCCCAACACAAATGTTCTCAGGGAATTGATGTATAGTTTTCCTCAAATATAATATTAACGGTATGGCAGAATATTGTGATGGCACACTTCTGGATACAATTTAAGATTTTCTTACAAGCGAGAATAGTTGAAACCATCTCTTGGCAAATAATTTATATCCTTCAGTCTATTCAGCGTATGAACAAAGAGCATCTGTGTGTTAGAAGATGTGTATTATAAGATCAAATATCTACTGATATAACAGGTTAGGACACTATTGTGTTAGAAGATATTTAACAGAACCACACTGATGTCTCGTGATTGTTACGCGTATAAAGGTGAATCACCTTCAACAGTACAGATTACGGAATCTAAAAAATAAAAATATTAAGATAATTCTACCAAAAATAATCTTTTTCAAGCATATGCTAAATACGAGCATTCAACAGTGATCGTAAAATGTAGGCATAATCACTTCAATATATATATATATAAATCATTGAGCGAACAATTATTTTTGTGCCTTTGAGATTACCCATGGATTACAAAATATGTTTGATTGAATCACAGAAAAATTTTAAATATTTTCACCGCAGTAAATACAGGTAAATACAGGAACACTGGAAACACTTCCATTTTGTCTAATTGGATTTGTATTGCCTTAAGCATGTCAGTTTTATTCCCTAAAAAACTTTATTTTTTACGATTGCTTAGGCTTGTTGCAACAAGAAAGAAAAAATTTAAAATTAACAAAGCATATCCATAATCAAGCAAACCGCACAACAGTTATTCCTGGATAAGAATAACACAGACATTTTAATTAAACTCTATCATGGTTTCAGGATTGCATGGAAAGTCCAGTGGGGCAAAGCCCTTGTGGCCTCAACCAAATCGCAGGAATATATTCCTGAAATTCCTAGTCACTATTATACTCTTAATTAGCAGTTTTTCATCAGTCAGTAAACAATTTTCATTGCAACATTTTTACCGGAACTGCAAATCGCTCAATGACAAACCCGGTCAGTTACTACTTTTCATTAAATCGAAAATGTGTGTTATTTATTTCTCATGGTACTAGATTTAAAATATGTTACACGTGAATGATCTAATGACGATGATTTTTTTTTCAAAAATCTTATCTTTTAGCTTCACTTTCCATTTTAATATTTTCTTGCAAAAGAACTGTTTCAATTTCTTACTAAAGTCATAATAAAATGTAAAATATTGGTTTTACACTGTACAGAGAAAGTAATACCTAAAAATAGGGATATACATTTTTTAAAGAACTTATCTTTGGCCCGTGATGACCGAAAACATCAACATTAGATATCCTCAGCACAATGGACTTACCCTCCCTCCCTTTGACATTAGGGTCAGATAAGAAAAAAGGATACATATTTTCAAAGATTACAATGGACATGTTAAACGAAATTTTATCATCTGTTGAAGTTTTAGTTGAAAGAAAACATGCTGCTTGTAAAGGAAATCAATGTGATTGCTTTATTAGTATCCGTACAGATTAAAAATATAGTCGACTACTAATAGGCTACTAGTACTAAAGGACTTAAAAAGGATATAAGCTTAATAAATTTACGAATGGCAATTATCAGATTTAACATCATTGCCCTTTATCCCTGGTCTCACTTCTAAATTCTTACAAAAAACAATATTTATGTTCTGAAGGTATTTTTAACTGTCTATGTTATTTTAAAGATATGTAATGTAATGATATAAAAACTGCATTGTATTCTTTTAAAATTAGGTAAAAAAGGTAACGGGACTGATGGAAGTGATAACAGTTTTGGACTTGATTTTCTTGTGTTTTAATGAGCAGCCATAAAACATCCATTTGTGTATTTTTAGCATTTTTGTGCTTTTGCATTAGGGTGTGGACTTTGTAAATATGTATTTTTCAATTTGTTTTAATCAATCAATAAAATATTGATGTGTAAACATGTAGAACAGGTCTAGAATTATGAATTACAACTGAATTTTTTGAACGTTTATCTAACATTCTGATTGCACGAGTACGTTTTTCATGTTTTTTTTTTGTTATTGGTGTGTTTGGTTTGGTTCTTGATTGGTTTATGGATTGATATACTTTTGTGGTGGATTTATAATATTATGTGTTTACAAGGTGGGGTTGGTTATTGGATTAATCGTTACCTGGTTGGCAAATCAGTGTATTTGTATTCTTAGACTTTGAGCAAATTTCCCTATAGGGAATAAGCTATTACCGTAGCTCTCATGGTAAGATCTAGACCCGGGATCGATTTACTTTTCGTTTTGAGGTCCCCAGAGGCCAAAATCAAATTCATATATATATATTAAAATCAAAACATAGTTAAAAAAGTACCCTTTTTAAATAATAATTTTATTTTAAATTACGAAATGTTTCGGAAACTAAGTCCATTATCAAGTCATATTTACCATAAACTCATTCTTAAAACTAACAAAATTAATAATATAATCATATCTAATAGTTTAAATAGAAAATATCTTAAATAAATCTTAATAAGTCTTGGTATGGTCTTTCATTGTACTATTCAATGTTTTCCATCTTTCATTAGTTTTTCTATTTTGTCGTAGATTGGTTAGTTTAATTTTAAAAATCACAGTATTAGGTATGTTCGTGGGTTCATTTTTATTATGTAGATAAATATTTAGCTCTTCTTTTGCATTAAGTCTCTCACGTTCTTTTAAATATTATAAAATTGTTGGATTTGCTTTCATGTTTTTATAAAGAAAAAAAAGAAATACAAAAGCAAAGAAAATCAAACGGAAAATGAAGAGAAAAATAAATATATTTGTGTACCTTATAACAAATATATGACTAAAGCAGTAAGAAATACATTTAAAAACTCGGATATAAGAGTAAGTTTCAGAAATAAGAACAATATATTCCAATTAATCAATAAAAAAAAATCAAATACATAGAAAATAATGAAGACGAAAAATACTAAAAATCAGGAATTTATAAGATAAACTGTAGTGACTGTAGCAATTATTTTATAGGTAAAACATCTTGAAGTTTTAAAACAAGATTCAAATAACATCTACAAGCATTGAAATCAACTCAGACCACAGTTATAAAAACATGACTGAAAATAAAACAATTTTAGAATATGAAAAAGAACGTGAGAAACTTAATGTAAAAGAAGAGCTAAATATTTACCTACATAATAAAAATGACCCCATGAACATACTTAATACAATGATTCCAAAATTAAACCAACCGATGTACGACAAAATAGAAGGACTATGGAAAGAAGGAAAACATTGAATATAGGATAATGAAAAAAATAATACCAAGATTTATTACGATTTATTTAACATATTTTCTATTTAAATTATTTTTACATATGATTATATTATTAATTTCGTTGGTTTTAAGATTTCTTAGTGTTTTTATTGCTTTTTGTTTTTGTAGAGCTATTGCTCATACCAGGTTTATACAACAGAGAACCTTAGTCTTGTACAACTAGGGCAATACAAAACCATTACGTTATTTGAACAGTTGCAGCATCATTTATGCTAATTATCTTGGGTAGGTCTCACATTACTATCACTGTCGTGGTTTGGCTGGAATCATATGGTGCATTATTTTACCAGAAATCGGTTTACTGAAAGAATAAAAAGACCCACAAGATAATGAGAGCATTAATCTTCCTCATATTTCTTCTACACATTCAAGTAAGTTAAGCATTTTCGTAAAGACTATGTTTTAATATACATCCCAATAATATTTAAAAAAGTTTAAACTATTAGTTCGTATAATCTTTCTTTATAAATTTTCTAACAATAAACAACCAAAATAAAAACCAAATGCAGTGTAACTGGTAAATAAAATAGTCTAATTACCTCTAATAGCTTGTAAGGGACAAGTAGATTCAGGCTTGAGGAGTATGTTTTATCTAAGATTCAGGCTTTGGCTTAAAACAACCAAGAAAATGTTTTGTTTGAAAATCGGGAAGTATGATCCCCGAAAGTCATTAGCATGACTATTTTTTATGACAAAATTTATTTAAGCTATTGTGAATACAATAAAACACCTTTGCAAAGTTCAAATTTGTAATTAAGGACCGAAAGGGCATGCCCATTTAGAACTAGACTAACGCCCAAAACTCTAGAACCGATTCTTCCTTTAACCATTAGCATTCAGCATTGACATATTCATTTAGTTACATGTCAACTTTAGTAGGCCTATCCAAAGGTAGCTTGTGTATCCGTTGGGCACTCTAATACGTGGCGTGGCGTTATTGTGTGGTAACGTCGCACCGGCCTGTCTATTGTCACGGTAGTAACTAGTACAGTAATAACGAACGCGTAAACTGAAGCATTGCACAGACGCTCCAGGACGAATGATTGCAACAGCTGTTTATGTGGCATGGGTCTGCGGCGTGGCCACCTTTGTCCCTCCGCGACTTTGAATGAGAAGAGGACATGGTTCGTTCGCCGTGATGTTCCAGTCCAGGACAAAGTCTCTGTTTTAGGACTGTGTCCTCTTCAGCCATATGCCATGGTGAAAAGCTCACGTAGGGTCCAATGCATGTGACAGTGTAGTGATTCAAACAGCGTCTTTGCTTTATATTCCTACTAAGGGTACTTAGGTATTATATCGACCACACATAATTTATAACTTAACCTAACCTAATGGTGAGCTATGTTTTAGGTTATGTTAAATTAGGAAGATTTTGTTATTTAACCTAATTAAAATGTTATTTGGATTTCGATTCATCGGTGTGGTCGTTAGTAGTACCCCACTGTGTGATACTTTCTCATTTTAGTATTTGTTGGTCAGATTAAATAACTGGTTGACCTGTTAATTAGATTAGTTTTGTTCCTTAACATTTGTTTCTGTGACAATGAGAAAAAACATTTTCAAATTGAAATGATGGTTGTTTTGTTTCCAGGGCGAGTTGTTGCAATGTGAAGATGGCTACGATGGATGTCACCACTGCAAGGATCGGATAGCACATGATGTAATTAACTAACGTGTAATTTTATTTTAATATTCATTAGTTTATCCCTGAACGCTAGGCTGTAGCCCATGATAGTTTTTCACATTTCTTCAGGCTAGGCCTATGGGTTGCGGTATTATTACTTAGATACAATCAATTTGTGATTGGCGGATTTGAATTTGGGATCTCATGGATCGAAGCCAAGTAATATTTTAACTTATATAGGAAAGCGTGCGAGTAACGGCTTCAGAACATATACATTTCACTATCAAGATCAGTAAAAACTAATCAAAATCTAGTATCTTGTGTATATAGACAGCATTCTTATAAAAATCACTACCAAACATAAGAAGAGGAAAATGTTTGAGGACGATAATAGTAAAATCTAGTTAAGGTGTTCTGAAAATTCGGAAAATTTATTGAAAATTAGTGATGAAGTAAACTGTAATAGGTTTATTATGTAAATGATTATTGAAATGAGGCGTGTCCCTTATAAGTTAGTAGACATTGTAATAATCGTAATTTTAAAAAATGTGTTTAGGATTAATGTAATGAAATAATTAAGATTTATAGGTTGTTTCTTTTTTTAATACGAGCCACTAGTTGATGGAGTTGGTCACATATTTCCATATTAATGATCACTCGGAACATTATTCAATCAGTAAAAACATTACTATGAACATACTATGAATTAGAGTCAGAACAGACTAACAGGGACACAAGTATATTCTCTTTATGTTGTTACAAGGGGAAGGTAAAATTAGCTATTTATCAACATTCTGAGTTTATAGAAAATCTTATCAACGGGGCTACATAGACTATATATAAAGTATTAAGTATCAAAAGAAACAAAAGAATGTTCAAAAAACTATTTTAATAATATAAGATCAATGGCGAGTTTATAAGTCTCACTTAGATGAATCATCATTCTGGTAGTGTATATAATTTTAAGATCTGGGACTCCTTTTACCATCGGATTGGACCGTTAATACACTCTAATTGAACCAAAGTATGCCCAACTTTATATTATAGCCTGTAAATGCAGCTGTTACTCACAGAATGGGTCAAAGATCCGTGAAACGCGACCAACAAACTGATGATGCAAGATTTAAGTGACTATCTTTATTCCACACAACGAATGTAATGAACAAGAAAACCACGAATGTAGGAATGTACATGAACAATTATCTCCATAGCATAAGTAGCTTATTAGGTTATCAGCTTTGCGCAGTTCATACACTATTTATTTTTCAAATATAGCTCGAATTAATTTAAAACATTCATTTTGTTTAAACTAATATATCGGTTCGATTAGCATTAATTGAGCGAAGCAAGCGAAGCTCTTATACGTCGACTCTTATGCATTTCGTAATACGCAAACTCCTCCTAGACGGCTGAATCAATCGTTTAGAAATTTTGCATGGTGATAAAGTCCATATCGGTGAGTGCCAACATCTATATGGCGTTAAAAAAGTCTCTCAGGAATCCGCCCCACTGGGTCTCAAAGTTTCAATGTAATCCTTATGGAAGCAGTATTTGACACGTAAACAAAGTCATATGATCAGCTGTTGACTTTTGAATGCAGTATGTAAAGAAAAAGCTGATAGCATTATTCCACAGATACTAGAACAGAAACGGTATGGATCATAAATATAATCAAATGACGGCACTAGCTTGAGGTCCGTGACGTATGAAAGTGGTGAAGGAAGTAGTAAAGGTGAGCAGTCTGGAGTGTGGAAACTGTTTACGACGATTAGATTAAGGTATCTGCATTCCTAAAATTCTATGGCTTTCAGCTGCTGACTTTTGAATGCATTAAATAAAGAAATAGCTGATAGAATTATTTCACAGATATTAGAACAGAAACGGGATGGATCGTAAATATAATCAAATGACGGCACTAGCTTGAGGTCCGTGACGTAGGAAGTGGTGAAGAAAGTAGTAAAGGCGAGCAGTCTGGAGTGTGGAAACTTTTTATGACGATGAGATTAAGGTATCTGCAATCCTAAAGTGCTATTGGAACGGAAGGAAACAGGTCCGCGACGTAGGAAGTGGTGAAGGAAGTAGTAAAGGCGAGCTGTTCGGGGTATGGGATCTGTTTATGAACATTAAATTAAGGTATTTGCAATCCTATGATGCTATGGGAAGGGAGGGAAACAGGTCCGTGACGTAGGAAGTGGTGAAGGAAGTAGTAAATGCAAGCAGTCCGGAGCGTGGGAAATTTTTATAACGATTAGATTATGGGATCTGCAATCCTAAAATGCCATGGGAAGAGAGTGAAACAGGTCCGAGACGTAGGAAGTGGTGAAGAAAGTAGTCAAGGCGAGCTGTCCGGAGTGTGGGAACTGTTTATGACGATTAGATTAAGGTATATACAGTCTTAAAATTCTATGGGAAGAGAGGGAAACAGGTCCGCGACGTAAAAATGTGTGAAGGAAGTAGTAAGGTGAGCAGTGTGGAGTGTGGGAACTAGAAACCGTTTGTAGCAGTTAGATTAATGTATCTGTAATGCTGAAATGCTATGAGAAAGGATGGAAGCATCCCCACGACATAGAAAATAATGAAAGAAGTAGTAAAGGCTAGCAGTGCGGAGTGTGGGGAATGAAATTTTTATGACGATTAGATTAAAGTATCTTCAATCCTAAAACACTATGGGAAGGGAGGGAATCAGGTCCGTGACGTAGGAAGTGGTGAAGGAAGTAGTAAATGCGAGCAGTCCGGAGTGTGGGAACTGTTTATGACGATTAGATCAAGGGATCTGCAATCCTAAAATGCTATGGGAAGAGACTGTAGGTTAAAATGATTACGAAGCACGAATCGATACATATTTCGATACATGCAATAGTTTACAATAGAAATTTACAGCTGAGTTGACAACAGCTGATTTTTACTCCACAGAGGCAAAAAACAATTTTTACTCCCTAAAGAGTAAAAATGCTACTTTAGACCCACAACGCATGCATTAAAAACGACTGTTTTTACTGCAGTATGACAAAAACCATATAATATGAACCATTGATGACTCCGCTCAATTTTGTGGATGCCTCTGCGAACGCCACCTAGTAGTTTATAGAGGCCCAACTATCCGTTCCACTTCATGTAAACAAAAATTAAGCAGTCACTATATAAAATATAAAGATAAACAGATATTTGTTAATTATTATGTCTTTTATTGCTGACAATATTCCCGTGGCAGAGCACGGGCGGTTAACTAGTGTTATTTAAATTGGGAATAAATAAATCTTATTTATGGAAATATTTTAGTAAAAATGTAATCAGACAAGTTGAAATTCGCTTAGTCTGCAGGTTTGCTGCAGCAGGGGTATTAGTATTTATTGGTCATATTACATAACATGTTGACCCGATATTATAATATGAGAAGAACAATTTTTAAATTAAAATGATGGTTGTTTTGTTTCCAGGGCGTGTTGTTGAAATGTGAAGATGGCTACGATGGATGTCTCAACTGCAAGGATCGCATATCAGAAAATGTAATTAACTAACGTGTAATTGTATTTTATTTTCAGAAAATTTTTTTATGATAATAATGTTGAAAGTTCGTTAAGGTCTTCTGAATTATAAATTGATTAAATGTTAGTAACGACTTTGCTGAAAAACATCAAATGCTAAGAAACTTCTTATGCAATTGACTGAACATTTCCAAAAGAATCTAATCTTTTTGTGAAAAGATTTGAGTCCAAAACTCTTAACGAGTAAATTTCTTTATATAAAAAAATTCTTAGCAATAAAAAATTACTAAAATGTAAAAGGATTTCGTATATGTGTTTTTATAATATCATGTATCTAACATAATTATGCTGGTAATTATTGTAATGAATCAGTGCTATTGGAATCAGCATATGGAGCAACTACATCAAAAAAACTTAAAAAAGATTTTATCGTACCAGAAAAGGGCAATTAGGGCAATGTTTAATTAGAAAAGGAATGTTTCGGTAAAACATATTTTTACCGATCTTGGAATACTTATTTTGGACTATATATATTGGAAACTATTATTTATGCAAAAAATATAACAAAAACTGAGGTATTAAACACAATTATTCATAATTATAACACTCGTTCTCAAACCCAAATTGATAGACACAATCTAGAATTTTATAAAAAGAAAACGAAATTCACAGGAAATAAATTTATGTCCCATCTACCAGAAACACTTCTGGCTGAAAATGATACAAAATAGTTTAAAAATTGACTGAAACAGTATTTGCTTGAACTTGCCCCTTATTCTCTTGAAGAGTTTTGGGAGAACAAATAAAATAAATACTCTGTTTTATTTGTTCCATGTAAAACATTTTATTGTTTTTTTTTAGATCTGACTCTGTACAATTGTACTGAAATGAATAAATGATATTTTGATTGATTGATTGATTGATTGATTGATTGAATTATCTTAATTTACAAAAATATGTTTAGGACCAATTAAATTAAAGAATTACAATTTATAAGATTTTTTATATGAAGTATTCAATCATTGAGTTGATTAACCGTTTTCTTCTATTGATCACGTTGGCGAAAAACCCCATAACCTTTTTTGATATTTGAGAGGGTAAACATTACTTATAGTTCAATAGCTGTAGATTGTATACACCTGCATTACAAAAAACGCTTAATTTTTTTACAGTCCTTTTTTTATTAACGTTTATTTATTTTGCAATACCAGACTGAGTGTGCTATTTGATATTAATAAAATTTCAATTTACAGGGAGTACTAAAAAAATCAAATGTCAGGATAGTTCAAATATTCGGTGAAAGCGATGAAAAAGATGAAAGTTGGACTGAAAGCAAGAGCCAAAGCGACAGTCAAAGCACCCAAAGTGTTCTCATGCAAATGGTACATATGGATAACTACTATAAGGCATCTACAGCAGTAGAAACAGGAGCAACGGGTAACAATCCACATAATAGTGAACCACAAAACCCTCACACCTCTCAGACCAGTAAGTAGACAGACACATAAGTAATTCTTCTCTCATGATTTGATGAAGTACGTGAGTCCCTTTGTGTGTGGATAAGCCTCTGTATAAACACGTTTTCTCTCAATTGGTTACCTCTGTACGATAGTTATTACTTCCTCAATAATGGTTAGGAGAACTATAAACTATATTTGTTATGATGGTTAGTAATCTATAGTAATGGGTGCTATTGGTCGATATACCCAAAATGGCGAGCTAAAACAATACATGAAGTACAAAATTGTTTTTGTACCAATACTAATGTTAACAATGTTTTTTTAAAGTTGCTTCTTAGAAAGGGTCTCAACCATAAATTAATTTACTAACTTCGAGTCATTGCTAAAGAGCATGTTCAAATAGAAACCGGTGAAAGGAAAAACTGGTTCAAGAACAATATCTTCTCAAGATTGAACCTTCAGGTATATAGGCCGCTATTATACCTCTGATGTTACTCCAGATAGTAGACCCTGTGGTCGTAAGAAAACTCGATCTAGTTATGATAAATTACGATAGTCAGATGTTCGAAGAGTACAAGCGGTTTTAGGCTGGCCACCCTGTGCTTAAACAAATTCCCCCCCCCCCCCCCGTTCAGACCCTCACTCACGTTCTCGCTCGCTCAATTTCAGCCTCCCTAAGTTCATCCCTCCTTCTCCAACCTCTAAAAAATCTATATTTCTCTAAAACACTTCCGATATAAAATAAAACCGTTTCTTCGCATAGCTGGCTGCAACTGGTGCATGAGGCAAAGTTGTAATCCTGGAGCATGCAGAGCAGCAAAGACCTTCAACCCAACGAAAGACGCTGAACGTATCAGAAACGCCGTGGAGGGACTGGGAACTACGGAATCAGAGTTGATAGACATCCTGATCCATAGATCAGAGGACCAGTTGGAGGAGATAAGAAAAGCATACCAAAAACTTGGCCGTGTAATGGACAAGGACATTGATGATGATACTGAATGGAAAATCAAGGTAAAAGTCATTGAATCTTTGAAATATAAAATTACAATATTACTGAGGAAAATGGGGTTCATTTTTGTGTTTATTATATTTATTATACTAATATTGAACAAAGTGGATACATTACTCTGAAAGAGCTTCACAAAATACTTTTAACATATTTTAAGTGTTTTGCTATGAAATTTTGGTGGTTTCTGTCATGGTTGAATGTCTCGAAATAATTTAGAAATATTGCCATCCGAACCACTTTTTTCGAGATGATCTGAAATCTAAATAGTAATCTGTATGCTCCATTTGCATGAGAGATTTTTTGCTCATATTAGACATGTATTGTTGAAAGAAATTTCGTGTTAAATTGGTGCCTTTAAAAAATTACTTGGAATGGACAACGAATTGAACCAACTACTCTTGACTGCCATCCAATTTCTCATAATATGTAAACTAATTACAAGAAAAGCAAAGTTGTAATTCATTTTTGATCTCGTCAAGAAAGAAATTAGTTAGCTCTTGATTAATTATTCCATAGTATCATATCATTACTCAGGTCTCAGAATTAAAGCAATGTAGTTCACAAAACTATGAGAATACAAACATGTTCTATGTTTCGCATTTTAGAGATAACAATTTTCCAAAGTTTTGTTAAGCCTCCTGATTACTGTATGTATGTACTTAAAATGGTTTACAATACCTGCATAATAATCCTTTGGATTACTAACAAATGATTTAAGGATGATAACTTTATAATGCAGGTATTATAAACCATTTTAAAATAACGAAGATTTGATTCGAAAATCATATTATTATTTTAATTATATTTTAAGTAGTATCTTTATAGTAATGCATCCATTCTTGTTATAACTTTTGATAAATTGTGTTTTCAGGATCTTTTTCAAGCTTTACTCAAGAGACGTCCAGAATTCTACGCAGACGAGCTGAAAGAAGCGTTTAAAAATAAGAAGTCAAGTGCTATTCTGATGATTCTTACCTCATTGCCACCTTGTGCCATTCTAGAAATCGGATCAGCGTATAATAAGAGACATCATACTGACATTTTCAATGCTGCCCAAAACGCAGCAAAGTTTGATTACAAAAAGTTCATTATTGAACTTATCAGAGCGGACCGAGACCCTGAAGGTCCGGTAGATAGGGAACAAGCAAAGAAAGACGCTGAGCTACTACAGAGAAGTGAATCCGAACATAGGATGATTGCAGACGGACATGCCTTTATTAAAGTTTTTACGAAGAGATCTTATGCTCACATTAGACAGGTATTGTTTAACAGATTTTATATTCTTCAAAAATTATCATGCAGTAATTTTGACTCTATAGTCAACAACAAAAGTTATTATCATCCTTGTTGGCTTGACTGTAATGTTCCAAAGGCTATCAAGAAAATGTAGCACATTTGAACCTAAAATGCCGAAGTAAACTGCTTAAAGAATGTGGAACAAATAATAAAACCTTCTAGACGTTAAACATTTGGAAAGAGGAAAAAGAGCGTTGTGAGAGAAAAATTACTCTCTTGTAACACTTGCTATTTGCACATCCTAAACCAGTCAAACCTGTAAATAACATGGAATCAGTGATTCAGTTTCATTATTTTTCCATTCATGAATTATTTCTGGATAGTACAATATTTGGGCACTCCCTTGCTATTATAATATGTAAGTACCTGGTGACCGAGCTTTTCTCGGGGAACTTTATCACTACACTATACTTTGAGAGTATTCTTTGGTCAATGTAAATCTATCCCAAAAATATTAATTTGCGGTAAATCTTTTCTTGACATCAATTTAACTTCTATTAAAATAATAATATTATAGTTTTACTGAAATGATGAGATAGTAGGGTTATTAACAATTTGTTTGGTTCCCCTGAACGGCCAAAACTATAGAAAATACCCAGTATTTTTCACCCTGAATTCGAAAAAGGCTATCAGCAGTAAGAACATCTTCTCACCTTCCTTCCTTTGAAGTATTAGTCACTGCAAGAACTTAGACCGAAACCTTTAATTTCCCCTTATTTAAAAAATGTAATAAGTTAAAATTTTACGGACACTCAGGACTCTTTCCGACTGAAAACGATTAATTTTTTTTTGTTTAGCAAGAAGATCTCATTAAAGAGACAAACTATAATCAAATTTGTATTAGTATACTCAACTTTTTCTATAAATAAACAATATTTACAAGCAAATGTCGGTTAACTTAGGTGTTGGCTATTTAAGAACAAAATTAGTCTCTTGATATTCTATAAATCATCATCTAATGTAGGCCTACACTAAAGTAAGCTAAAGTGTAGCTTCTAAAGCTAAAGCAAGTTTAGGTATTGGCATTTGTCGGTTGCGACATTTGTCGACAGGGGACACGCTTCGGCATGCTGATCATGGTGATCCAACCTTTAACCAACTTAGCTGCAATTCATAACCTATCAAATGCATTTGTCACACCTTGCATCATTGTACATAAGCTTGGCTTCCTTGGATAAAGCCATGAATAGGCATTTGGTAAAAAAATATGTTTCTGCGAGAACCGCAGTTAAAATATGTGATAAATCAAACCCAATGATAATTTGTAAAACAATGACCATATATTTAGTCACAGTATAAACCTTAAAGAATAAATAATAATTTAAGCTTTAATTTAAAATACCTTATGTTACACTCTTTCATAGAACAAATTGTCCTAATAACAACACTGTTAAGGTGCATATGGCATAATTAATGAAAATATTGATTGACATCAAATCAAGAGTTAGGCCTAAGTATTTATTTTATTTATACAAAAGACACTTTCGGATTGGATAATGAGTAGTTTTAACCTTGAACCTTGGTTTAACCTTTTGACCTTTTGAGGTTGAACCTTGAACCTTAACCTTTTAACCTTGGTTTATGGTTGTATATCCTTTTGCAGCCCTTGATTGGGGTTGCCATTGAGGACTATTTCCTGGATATTTACTTTTTTGGTTTAGCTTGGTTTAGTTGTATTACTTAGGCCTATTCACACAAAAATGTAGGTAGCCTAGCCTAATTTAGGAGAAAAATCCTTGACACTTGAAGTCATCACACTCTTGTGTATGCCTACAGATAATATAGGCTATAATGCTTAAGGATAGATAGCTTCCAGATCAAATTTAAGTTTTGACATTTGTCGTTTTGCAACATTTGTCGACACATATGACACGCTGCAACACAAACATTTTAAACCTTTTTAAGCAGTTTAGGAGAAAAAAACCCTACACTTTTTTTCAAAATCATCACACTCTTGGGTACAGATAATTAGGCTATAATGCTTATAAATGGATAGCCTCCAGAGAAATTTCTATTTCTTGTGATATGTTATACCATATCAATTTGCCAAACTTAGCTCAGTTTGAAAACGTATAACCTATTTAAGTAGGCCTATATCTTACAAATTGTACATAACTAAACGTAGAGTTTGAGCACAGCCTCCTCTTCGAGAAGGCCACAACATATATGCCTAAAAAAGTTGGGTAGCTAAGCCGCATATGCTAGGTTTAGCTAGACTAAGGGGTAAACGTTTGCCGGGTTGATCCTTGTTGGTTTTTTGGTGAGTACCAAAAAGGCAACTTAGGTATAAACATGGTTGTATATCCAAGTTTGGTTGTCCTCGATATAATTGCACTATTTTATTAACACTGACACTATGATACATCGCTCGTTTATATTGGCAAAAGTATTAAGTAAACAGTAATAAGGCTGAGGATAATATAGGCTAAGAATAGTTTGATTGATTAGAAACTCATTACTCTGGAAAGTTTTATAATTTAATACAAATTCTTATACATGAAACGATTCAATGAACTGGAGAAAAGTCGAGTCGTTCTCTTTCTCAAGTTGACAAGATTGTATGTCAGAAGCTAAAATAATACACATCAGAAGTATGTAGCAGTTGCCTCGGAAAGTGCTTCAAGAGCTTTCTGCGCATGCGCAAGCTGAGGTGCCCGTGGGTACAGAACGTCGAGTTATGTCTTAAAATGTAAACAAAATGACAAGAATGGCGGAATGTTTTCCCATAAGGCCCATGTTAAATTTTCAAAAGTTTGTACTCATATTATGGCGAAAATAGATTTTTCCTGGCTATACCACTGGTCTAGAACTTATTTTTGACACAGAACTTAGTTATTCCGTGAATATAAACGTTTTTGTTAGAGCCGATTCCCAGATTGAAGTAACAAGTATTCAAACTTTACTCGTATTATATATAGGATATAATATATAAGTATGATATTAACTTTTAAAGTGGATGCATTTTTCTAGTGGTTAGAGCGCAGGCATTCGGCCCAAGAGGTCCCGGGTTTAAATCCCACCAATCACCAATAGGTTTTATTTAAGTGATAATGTCGCAACCCCGAGGTCTAGAATGAAGTAATGTGAAAACCAATCCCGGGCTCGTACCAAGTATCGTATGAAAACAATTGCAACTCGTTTGAAATAATAAACATAAGCTTCTTGACACAATATTAACATTTTAGAAAGACAATCTAAGCCATTTGCACATTAACAAGACAGAAAATCACGGTGTATTATCAATAAATAATCTACGCGACCTCCATAATCGTTATCATCTATAACTTACTACAAATTTCTGAAATATTATCACCCCTGCAGAAGAACTGCGCTAGAAAATTCTTATAAAGATGGAGTTCTATTTGTTCATGTTCCACTAATTGTTATACAAGTATGCAATCAACTGCATTTATCTATTTACTTTAATTTACTAGTATCTTGTAAGGAAGTTTTCCCTTTGAGGAAGAAAAGTTCCTTCACACTCTTTTTTTCTTACTCATCAAGGGTTTTGTCCTGAGTTAAGTGACAACTGAGTGACTGAGTCTGGTTTATTGAACACTCTTTCTATTAAAACTATTTTCAGTAACTCAGCTTCCAAGGTAAGGGTTGTGCCTTGTAGCACTGAGGGCAGACTCACAGGGTATCAGACCTCGACACTGTACTGGTTCCCGGTATTACTATGGACATGGATGTCCCTGTAGTGACGTCTCCCAACGCAATAGGTCCCCTAGCGCAGTCGGTCGATCTCGACCATCTGACCTCTGGCTCCAACTGCCTAGCCTAAAATAGAAACCCCTAATATACACAGTCCACTGAAATGAGAAGTGAAAGGGGGAAATGATTCCAAGGATAGCTGGGATCTCACAAAGCCCATCCAGCCGGTATGGGCTCAACACACCCATGCACTTGGGGAAAAAGTACTTGGGGCTCAGCTCAGCACGGCCATCCTGTACCAGAGTGGAAGGAAAAAGTACTGGGTGCTCAGAACTCCCGAAGGTGTATTTGACTCTACTGCCCAAGGGGAGTACATAGTTATATAATTATTATTAAAGTTATATGCACGGAATTTACCCCCAAAGGGTGGGGAAAGTACTCAGTACTGGGCCCTGGCACTAAGCTCCTTCCCCCAGTACTTTTCACCCAGGTAAATTCTCTCAGGACAACGTGCTTAGGGAAAACTACTAAGGGGAAAGCGCTGAGGGAAAAGTACTGGGGGAAAACCGCTGAGGAAAAAGTACTGGGGTAAAGCGCTGATGGAAAAGAACTGGGGGAAAATGCTGAGAGTAAAATGGCACAATTATAAGTGTAGCTTAATCATTTTATTACACTCTAATTTAATCTTCACTAAGCCAAGCTCTTCATGACAATGAATGAGCTTTAAACCCAAAACAATTTCAAGCATACTGACATAGTAAATTCTACTTCCAGGTCAAATCGGAGTATGAAGATATGGGCTTTGGTAATTTTAATGATAATATGGCTCAGAAATCAGGAAATCCCATGGTCAAACAGGGCTTGACAATAATACTGAATAACATCGAGGACCAGACAAAATATTTCGCAGACATGATACAAGACGCTATTGATTCACCGATACCCTTTATAATCAAGGTAAAACACCATATAGTAATTGTGTTTTTCATTATATTAAGTACTAGCCACTATACCCGTGCCTTGCAACTGGATCAAGATGCAAAAGAGACGAAATTCAACGGCACGGTTTAACTTTATAACAGTCTGTTTTTGTAAACTCAGACTGTGAACACTAGGCTACTTAGAATGGTGTAAGAGTGGTGCCGATACACTCGTGAAAATGTTATATTTAGGATGTATGGTTTCATGTTTCAAAAATACGCTTACTAATAAGAGTGTTTACTTTAAAAAAAATTCAAACGAATCCTAAAACTAAGGGTAATCTGGTGTCTGAAAAGCCATTGGTTTTTATACCTGTCACATAAAAAAGATACAAAAAATGCTTGGATTATGGTAAGGTCTCTTTTCATTCAGTTCATTAAGTATATTTTACACTGAGATAATAGATAAATTATAATATTTTCCACCTTTAGTTTATGAAACAAATAATCACTGTTGTTAATTTTTACGCAATATTTATTATTGAAATTATTTTATCGACTAAGTACATACAACGAGCAGGTTAAAATTGGCTCACTTTGCCCGTTCCAAAATCCAAGGCCCTTAACACTCTTTTACTCTTACCATTGATTATGGAAAAATAACATTAACACTTCTCCAATGATTTGAGAAACAGAAGTCAACTGCAAACAGTTATTTTTGTTTTAAAATTTTGCAGTTGATTTAATTGAGGTAGCTGACGGTATAGCTATACACCACTAAATTAACTGCAATGTATACAAAATATATGGCATGATCAAGTTCAGTAAACATTTAGAATACATTTTTTCCAACAAATAAGGACGCATGAAACACAGAGATCACAAGAGGCTTTAGATATAACAATAGGATGCAAAACATTAACTTCTGCTAGTATCAAAAGTCAATGATAGATTTTAAGATATTACCCAAAAACATGGTGAGTATTTTATTTTGTCCTGTAAACAAAAAGCCATCACAATAGTCCCAAACATAACAATATTTTAACTTTATTACTGTTTCAACAAACATATATCTGGTAAATAATTCTCATAAAACTCTGTATGGATCATAAACTTAAACAAATTATGTAACTGAACGAATCATACAGTAGGCTACTAGCAAACCCGTCATGGCTTCGTTCACGAAAATTCTAATGAAAAAGTTGAACGATCAACCTGAGTAGTGCCTACACTTTCTGATTTGTTAATTAAATTAACTATTAAAAATCTGTTATCAATTATTTCAATTATCAATTATTTAAGATGGGGACGCCACTATGTGCGTATTTTAACCCAAATATGAGTGAAGGAGGAGTGTAGGATGAGTGGCGCGATCTTGTAGTCTTGTTAGTGACTAAGGCCGACATATTCCTTAGACACAGCTGTTAATTAATAGCCCATACAGCTAATGGCAACTAAGGGACCTACAGTTTATAGTGGAATCCGAACCACATTTTTTCCTTGTAATTTACGAATTGGTCTAATTATCAGGATAGTACTGCGGATAGTCGTAGTACTCACTAGTGCGGACGTTAATCCACACCAGGGAGCATCGCAGGAGCTTGGCTTAGTGAAGATTAATATTTTAAGTTATGCAGTAAATCACCTTTTCACCACACTACGATACTTTTAGCCGTTTTACAAACGTTTATTGGAGGCCGAAAGCTAACTTATTGCTGTCTATGCCAGCTGTCTTCATAATTTGGGAACCGAGCAGATTTTTACATTTCTAGGATAGAAAAACAGATGTTCTATTACTTTCTTAAAACATTAATCCATATTAAATACACAATCAGCATCGATAGCATTGCAATATAATTGTTTTATTGTCGATGCGGCCTAGTAATTATTTATTATAATTTCTGCTGATTCCTCAAATTATTTTTTCACATAGCCTTAAATTTGTAGTTGTGTTGACTTAGTATGCATTATTATTATAGTGGTAATAGAGTATAGTGTGGTAAAACATGGCGTTCGTACCACGGATCGAAATGGTTTTGCAGCTCTTTGATCGTTCGAGACAAAGTCGAGAACTTAAAACGATCGAGAGCTTCAAAACCTCATTTTCGGCCCTAAGTATGAAATATACTATTTCAAGCCACAAAAATAATGTAAATATTTAAATTTTAAGTGATAAAATATAACCAGCTGTCCCATTAAGTAATAGTGCAGATTCAAAAGTATTCATGTGTTTAAACGTTAACAAATCTTTTCTCCTTATAATATAAGGATAACATGGGAACTTTAAGAGCCACTGGGGCAGAACCCTAATGGAATATTTTAACTCTTCTTATTGCACACCTAAATATGGCTTTTCGGTTTTTAGATATAGTGATCAGTAAATGAGTAGTATTTGACTTTTATAAGTATAGATTAACGATAGCAAAGCTAGGCCGGTTGAAAAAATATAATTCTTTCCTTTGCAATTAAAGGGCTGTGATTATTGTTTTATAAACCGAATATTAGAGCTATGATTTTCATTTTAGTAAATACGAAACAATAATTGGTCATTTCATTCTGTATATCCTCTTAGCTTAAATTGACGCTTCTGAGGGTTGGACAACCCATCTGTTTATGAGATTTTAGGCCGTTGGCATTTTTACGGGAACTTGGAAAGTAACAATTTAAACCCATAGTTCTGTTATTATGTAACACCACAGAAAACACTTTCTATCTTAACGGTGAGGGCAAACAACTACCACTTATGAAAAAGTTGTCTTTACCAACTAACTCACAGCAATTTATAAACATTTCGTTTCGATGGGCTTCTAAAATCTGATTATATTTCTCAACATATTCCAACTTTGTATTTAGGTTTACATTTAGTTTTAGATTTGACAATGTATTTGTAATTGTTATTGTAATTGTTCTGTAATATTCAGTATAATTATAACATTGTTATATTAATGCTTTCTTTGATCTAAAAATAAATATAGATGGCATTGATTTTTTACTTGTTTTAATGTTTTAAAGCAACATGTGATTTAACAATGAACTAATAGTAATTTTGCTAGTTGAAAACAAAACATCAAGAATTAAGATCTCTCTCTCTCTCTTTTTTATGAAAAAAAAATTTAAAGTTCTGTGAAATCACTGAAAGTTGAACTGTTACATTAAAAATATTTGTCAATTGTATCTCAGTGTTTGTAATTTGTGTTATAAAGAATCAAACTCCGCTTATGCATCAAATACAGTCCACTCCATCCACTCCACACACGCTACCAAAAATCTACAGTAATTTAAAAAGAATAAAAGTTTTCCAAAAATGTTATAGGACATCAAAATGCTGGTTCTAATATTGAGGGGAAGATGTGGCCTGGACTTAGGAGATATTCTGAAGACTTACGCGTCCTACCACGAGAAAAGTATTATAGAAAAACTCGAGCAAAGATCCTGGGGAGACTACGAGGATGCCCTTGTGGAGATGTGTCAAGAGCAAAAAGTGTAAAAGTGATATATTAGCTGAATAAAGTATTTGGAACGTATAGGTAAAAACCGTAAATTATTTATATGATATTCCTAGGAGACTAATAAAACTTTTTAGATTACTTGTTCATCGATATTATTGGATGAAATTTGGAAAATGTACACATTTCATACTAAGCTATGCACATTTCACTTCAAAAAACACTCTTTATTACCCTCCCTGTAGCAGTAAATCTAAGTACTTATTAAAATTATTGTTATTTAAATGGGAAAAAAGCTTACAGTTTTGAGGAAATATTTGGGTGAAAATCATATTAAGCCAATGCAAATTTGTTTAGTCTGCAGGTTTGCTGCGGATGGTGTATTTTATTTAAAACATTGGACCGAACCTAGGTTTTGTACTGTGTCTTTATGTAAAATGTCATTATCACTATTACTCTGTACAACTTTTAGTTGAAATATAATTGGTAAATGATAAATTTTGAGCAACGAGGACACTAGTTTTCTTATTTAATTTTGAAACGTTCAGCAATAGCCTACCGTAGCCTATCGTTGGTACACGATATCCGCCAAGTAGTTAATCTTAGTATTTTTCCTTTAAGTCACATTTATTGCAATAGTTTGAAGTATTTAGACAACTCAAGTAAGCTATTGACATATCTTTTTGACATCCGGAAGAGGCCATGACACAAATTGAAATGCAAATTGGTTGCTTGGAACTGCCTAAACAGGATATAGACAAACTTTTAACACCCAACTCTTTGGCTTGTAGCTTATAATTCAAATAGCTGAGATTTAATTCTCGCCTTACTTATTCAAACTATTTAGTAGCAAATGTTGGATTATTTATTAATTGTATTACTATATTAGTATGGAATAATGTGGGGAGCGAGCTGTTCTAGTGGTTAGAGCGCAGCACTTCGGTTCCTGAGACCCGCGTTCAAATCCTGCCAAATCGCAAATGGATTCCATCTAAGTGATAATGCCGCAACCCCTAGTTCTAGCCTGAAGTAATTTGAAAAACAATCCCGGGCTCGTGCCTAGTGTCCTAGGGAAAAAAATTACAACTCGTTGGAAATAATAAACATAATCGTCTTGACACAATATTTAAATTTCAGAAATACAATGTAAGCCATTTGCACATCAACAAGACGGAAAATCGCGGTGTATTAGCAATAAATAATTTACATGACCCCTCGTTATCATCTATAACTTACTTATACAAATTTCTGAAATATTATCACCCCTGCAGTAGAACTGTGCTGGAAAAATATGTTAAGGCTGGAGTTCCATCTGTTCATGTGTCACTACATTGTTATACAAGTTAGGCTAGGCATATTAGAAATAAAAGTGGCAGTTAGCGGAAAGTTTAGGTACAGTCCTAATCACCACTTTTATTTATGTTTTTGGGTTGCTGAACACGAATATAAGGTTTGCTGACAGATATTATGCCCGGAACAGGGGGTAATGAACTCTTTGCTAAGCCCATAGCACATAAAGAATGCTGGATTTCCTTCCGACTGTTATGGACCTCAGTAATAAGCCCAACTAAGGGGAAGCCACGCATTGCGGTCTTTTGCGCACCTGTCATTGATATTTCTCAGTCTTCATTGACTTTAGTTGTAGTAAATTGTTAACAGTAAATCAGACGGAAAATCCTTTCAATAAATATTTTTCTATCATGAAAATGTTTTTCCATTTACAAAATAGATATCTATATATTCGGCAAACAATATGCATGCATTCTGAGAATTGGTGTGTACTTCGAAAATTTAGCAAACCATAGTTAGACATAAAACTTAATTTATCTTGAGTTATATTCACAAACGAATTCAATAATTAATATGCTTCGTGAGATTATGTTTAAACACACTGATGCGTAACCGTAAAATGATACACTATACAGTCGAATGACTTTTTAGAGTGAAAATATATATAAAAAATAAACGATTATTTCAAAAATATATATATTGAATAAATTGGTAGCTTGGACAAAGTTACACCTCTAACAAAATCAACATTCTAATCGCAAGGTGATAAACTGGTGACTGGTAGAAATAAGCTAAACCCAAATCGAGATTGTTTTCAGGAAAAGAACCGTAGAACTCACACCAGCAAAGATCTTATGAAATTTACAATTCTTGATAAATTCACAGTAGCTTAAACTTTAAAACTGTTTATTACGCAAAATCTACAGTGAAACTTTTTTAGCGGAAAGAAGCTTGTTTTTTACCTTTTCTCTTTGAATATGAAAATGCCCAATTTATATTATAGACATTATAGGGTATGGAAACGTTTCATTTAAAATACAATTTGTCAAATTGAAAATCGCTTAGCCTGCAGATTTGCTGTGGCGCAGGTATTTTGGAACAGATAGGTAATATCTCACGATAAATCACAATGAAAAACAGAAAATATTAATCATAAAGAAATTTTAAAATGTAAATACGAGGAGATGAAAGTGGTTGAAATCCAAGTTTGCCTCTGTCGCGCACGATCGCTCGTTTTATATTACAATGTTACAATCTTGTCTCTCTGCAGATCCATTATATTAAATCAAGTTTTACATTTTCAGCAATACGACTTTGAAGATTCTTTTCTGTTAGGAACAATTTATTTTAAAAATTGTTCAAGTAAAACTATAGGGTAAAACGCAACCCATGTATTTAATCACAGTAATGCCAACAATTCAGTTCACTAAATGACACAACATTTTATTCTGTAGCTTTGTAGAAAGACCTAAAACTCTTATTATAGCTTTAAAAAAATGTTCCACACATTAGAACGATGTGCAATCCAGCTGACTTCGCCGCAGACCAGCTTAATTTACTGTAGCCCTTTCTGTGACTGCCTCGTCTAAAAGAGTCCCAACAGAAACCAGCTATGCGCTGTGTAGTGTGCTGAAAATATAGTTTTATTATTATGTTTATCCCCCTTTTTAGGTTGAACCTCCATTATTAGACCCCTTATTAGGTATATAAACACCAATGAGTATTTATCCTCTCAAATTATTATTTAGGTAACACGAATATAGGAAATAACACGAATTCTTCTGCAACTATTAAACAATGTACCAATACCAATAACAACCAATAAGCAATAATGACCAAGTACACGAATCTCTCAAGAGATTTTTGACGGATCTTTTTTAAATAAGGTCATATTACCCGACTATCTGTGGTAAGTTATAATTCTGTTTTGTGTTAAACTATGAAGAACAATCAAGTCTAGCCTATGTATCTAAACTGATTAATTTTGCAACCTAAAGGTTAGAAATTCCATTATGTTTTGCTGGAAAAGTATACTCAAAAGCCATGTGTAAGCAAAATACTAAAGGATAAATAAACATAATAAATTATCAATTATGAACTAACTGATATTTCGTAACTTCTTTAGAGAGTATATTTTAAAGTATATGAACAAGTCCTACTTGTTGTGTGGCTTTTTTGTGTATTCATAAAACCCCTGGACGCTTATTTCCTCAACTAAACTAGCTAGATTTTATTTGAAGCCCAACCATAACGTGTCTTTATAACAAATTATAACAAATCTTAAAATACATTGCATGATCCTCCAAGCCTTGCCAACCCTAGACTGAGTTCCCTCAAATCTGTGTGTAACAATGGCACAGTAGTTGTAACTTAGTTTGTAAATTTTTAACCTAATGAATATTTGACAAACACCACTCTAAACAACGCTTTGGCCTTTCTAAACAAATTAAAATAGTTCAACTCTTACCCCTGTGCAGAATGTATGTATTATTAAAATGATGGAACCCTCAAAACGAAAAAAAAACTAATTATTATAGGTAAATGTAATTTTCATTTCTGATTAAATTGTCTTAATGTACTGAATATATATAATATAGGTTCTCAAATATTTATTATTATGAAGCTGATACAACTGTATACGTGCTACTATACTAAGTAAGGAGATATGGTGTGGTTCCATTAAATATCTGATGATACAATAGCGGCCTAACACACGGATGCTCTTTGTTCATACGCTGAATAGACTGAAGGATACAAATGATTTGCCAAGAGATGGTTTCAACTATTCACGCTTGTAAAACAATCATAATTTATCAAATTTACTACAATATATAATTTTGTACATTTTAAACTATAACATCACAATATTCTACCACAATGTTTATATTATATAACATTTATTCCTTGAGAACCTGTGTTTAAAATTTAATGCAATGCGACGACTCTTTTTTGTTTGATAAACTTTATTTGACCAAACCATCTAAACATAAATAATATTCAAACTCCAATCAATTTTAAATTACTTAAATAATTTAAATACTTTGAATACTTTAATACTTTCTTATTAAATGGCGACCATACAAAGTAGGCATTTTAAGCCAAGTATGAATGGAGCTGAGTGTAGGATGAGTGGCACGATCTGGTAGTCTTGTTAGTGACTAAGGCCGACATTCCTTAGACACAGCTGTTAATTAATAGTCCATACAGCTAATGGCAACCTAAAAGACCTACAGTTTGTAGTGGAATCCGAACCACATTTTTGCCTCGGTATATACGAATTGGTCTAATTGTTAGGATAGTACTGCGGTTAGTCGTAGTACTCACTCGTGTGGACGTTAATCCACACCAGGGAGTATCGCATCCACAGTGCATGCCTATATAAATATCCACAGTTCGTGAACGACTAGTAGCTGGATTACAGGACGACGGGACGCGACCTTGGGATGCAGATGAGTTGGAAACTCCAAACTCCTGTTTTTACAGATGTAAAATAATTTTTCCCCTGATTATTCCAGTATGGAGAAGAATTGCATAAAGTAGTTTTGCATAGAGTTTTTTTCACAACATCCGACAAATTACATATTTTAAAATAAACCATGGCTATAAATAAAAAAGGAAACATTTGAATTTATCTATATTTGCTGCAATATATTATATTCTTATAATGTAAAAACATAATAAGATGACATTAAGATTATATGGTACCTGAGGTATATTTCGTACCTAGGGCCGAAAACCATTATCGGTCCGTGGTACGAACACTATTTTTCACCACACTACTACTGTTCAC